ATCTTGGCCTATTGACAGCCGAGGGAAAGCTGAAGACGCCACAACTTCGCTTGAGTACTAATGGCGTTGGGAGGGAAAGGAGAGAAAGAGATACATCAAAATATTATATACAGTTTATATATGTGTCTTGGCTTCGACAAGCTAACGAACACCGATGGTTGAAACGCGGTTATCTTCGCACGTCAAAACAACGCAGTGTGCATGTATCGGGAAGGCTTCTCTCGCAGCGGCGGCGCCTCGCAGCGACGATCTTTGAGCTTCCCTCGCAGCGGCGACGTCTCGCGGCGGCGGTCTTCTGGAGACGCACAAGGCCTCCAGAAAAAATAGCTCGGACTAGAGAACCAGCGGTCAGGCTCTCGGCTGGGTTGCTCTCTCTTGGAGCTTGTTTCGCAGGCAAACGAGCGCGGTTACCTTCGCTACAGTGGCGCGGCCCTTGCTGGAGTCTCTTCTCCAGCAGGGCCGCGCCGATACCTGCACGTTCGCGCCGCAGAGGTTCTAGCATGGAGGAGGGGAGAGGAACTAAACGATTAAATCCGGCACGGTATCGTATTATATCGGAACAGTTAGAACAATAATACTGGCTATATTATATACCGATGGTCAGGTTTTACATAGTACTGCGCATTGCTCTGAATATACATGGGAGCGTAAGGTCAGACATTGTGTTGATGGGATCTGCAACTAACGTCTCTTGTGGTGGTGAGCCTGTTCATTGTTACTTGTGTAAGGGCATTCATTTTTTGAATGCCCTCTCTCGTGCAAGGCGTTAGCAAAGGGCGGGCCGCTCACTGCTTAGCCCACCACTTCTTCCACGCGCGGAGCTCTTTGGCGAGCTCCGCGTGATTCTTCAAGGAGGAGCCAAGGTCGCAGCTGGTCTTGGCGTAGCTCTTCTTGAGAGCCTGAACGTGGCGTGCAGTGAAATTGTGATGTTACCACGGGTTTTCACATATACTTCAAAATCTTTATGTAAATAGATTTTCAAAGGGACGCGGCCTCGTGCTTGTAGTAGAGCTTGTTGTACTCCGTCATCCAGTGGTCAGCCCTGGTCGTCTGTCCGTAGAGGTTCCTGTAGTACTGGTTGCTGCGCCTCCTGGGGAGGAGGGGGGAAGGGAGTTCAGGGGTGCAATAATAATTATGTGTTGTGTTTTAGCGGGGTTGTTTGTAACGTAATGGTTGGGGGTATGTCGTGGGTTTTACCTTCCCCCGGGGTCGTTGCTTGCTCTGCCTTGCTGCGAGCTTCGGCAAGAGCTTTTTTCAGTGGCGCCACGGCGGCCCGCGCAGCCTTCTGCACCACCTTCTTGATCTCGGGCTTTTTCAAGAAGTGCACCGCCCTCTTGGTGGCCAAGCGCTCCTTGTTCGCCTGCCGTGGATAGACGATGGGTGGTGGAGTTTGTTTCTTGGTTCTTCGGTTGTTTTTTTTGTGTGTTTTTTGTGCAATCCGCTTGGGCCTGGAGTTTCTCGTAGTACTTCTTACTCCCGTACGGCGGGTTCCCCATGGCAGTCTTGGACTTTCTGTCGAGGGTACAATCGCCAGCAACAAGAATAGCACAATCGAGGCTAAGGAGCCAAGAAGAAGGCAACTCAAATTGCAATGAGATGTGGGGAGAGGCGGGAGGGATGAACCGCAAGACATCATCAGAAGTACTGCTGAAATGATTGCTTCGATGAAAGCATCCACTTTCCCCTCTCTCGCACCCTTCTTCTACATCTTTCCCCCTCATTTTCCTTCTTCCTCCTTTTCTCTTCCTCCCTCTTCCCTCCCTCAAGTCTCCGCCGTGCCCCGGGATACTTTAGTGTAAGCCCCTGCCGCCGCCGGGCACCCGGATACTTGAGTGCAAGTCCTTTCTTCTATTTGGCATTGCACTGCAATCGCATTGCATTGCAATCGCATTGTTTGGCAATCGCATTGCATGGCAATCGCATTGCAATCGCATTGCATTAGAATCGCATTGCATTGCAAAGGCATTGCATTGCTGTCGCATTGCACTGCATTGCAATCGCATCGCATTGCATTGCATTGGCTGGGGGGGAGAAGGGAAAGAGAACGGGAGAGAGAACGGAGGACGGATGAGGAAGGGGGGGGAGAAGACGGATGAGGAAGGGAGGAGGGAAAGAAAGAAGGATGGATTGAGAGAGAGAGACAGAGAGAAGAGAGATAATAATGAAGAAGTCAAGGAGAACATCACAAGAACTAACGAGAAAACGGGAGAAAAAGCTCGGGAACTTCTAGAAGTGAAAACGGCCTGCTGGTGGGTCCAGCGGAGTGAGGCACCGCGCGGATGTGAGCGGTAGCTCGCCGTCCCTGGGGGGCTGCGATCTGCGAAATCGTCGCCTTTTTGGAGGGCCACTGGTGGGTCCAGCGGAGTGAGGCACCGCGCGGGTCTGAGCGGTAGCTCGCCGTCCCTGGGGGGCTGCGATCTGCGAACTTGTCGCCATTTTCGAGGGCTGCTGGTGGGTCCAGCGGAGTGGGGCACCGCGAAGATCTGAGCGGTAACTCGCCGTCCCTGGGGGGCTGCGATCTGCGAAATGGTCGCCACTTTCGAGGGCTGTTGGTGGGCCCAGCGGAGTGAGACACCGCGCAGATCTAAGCGGTAGCTCGCCGTCCCTGGGGGGCTGCGATCTGCGAAATCGTCGCCTTTTTGGAGGGCTGCTGCTGGTGGGTCCAGCAGAGTGAGGCACCGCGCGGGTCTGAGCGGTAGCTCGCCGTCCCTGGGGGGCTGCGATCTGCGAAATCATCGCCACTTTCGAGGGCTGCTGCTGGTGGGTCCAGCGGAGTGAGGCACCGCGCGGATCTGAGCGGTAGCTCGCCGTCCCTGGGGGGCTGCGATCTTCGGAATTGTCGCCATTTTCGAGGGTTGCTGGTGGGTCCAGCGGAGTGGGGCACTGCGCTGATCTGAGCGGTAGCTCGCGGGCTCTGGGTGGCTGCGATTTGCAAATCTTTTCTTTTTCCGAGGGCTGCTGGTGGGTCCAGCGGAGTGAGGCACCGCGCGGATCTGAGCGGTAGCTCGCCGTTCCTGGGGGGCTGCGATCTGCGAAATGGTCGCCACTTTCGAGGGCTGCTGGTGGGTCCAGCGGAGTGGGGCACCGCGAAGATCTGAGCGGTAGCTCGCCGTCCCTGGGGGGCTGCGATCTGCGAACTTGTCGCCATTTTCGAGGGCTGCTGGTGGGTCCAGCGGAGTGAGGCACCGCGCAGATCTGAGCGGTAGCTCGCCGTCCCTAGGGGGCTGCGATCTGCGAAATGGTCGCAATTTTCGAGGGCTGTTGGTGGGTCCAGCGGAGTGAGGCATCGCGCGGGTCTGAGCGGTAGCTCGCCGTCCCTGGGGGGTTGCGATCTGCGAAATTGTCGCCACTTTGGAGGGTGTTGGTGGGTCCAGCGGGGTAAGGAACCGCGCAGATCTCAGCGGTAGCTCGCCGTTCTTGGGGGGCTGCGATCTGCGACATTGTCGCCAAGGCACCGCGCAGATCTGAGCGGTAGCTCGCCGTCCCTGGGGGGCTGCGATCAGCGAAATTGCCGCGTTTTTGGAGGGCTGCTGGTGGGTCCAGTGGAGTGAGGCACCGCGCAGATCTGAGCGGTAGCTCGCCGTCCCTGGGGGGCTGCGATCTGCGAAATGGTCGCCACTTTCGAGGGCTGTTGGTGGGCCCAGCGGAGTGAGGCGCTGCGCAGATCTCAGCGGTAGCTCGCCGTCCCGCTGCGATCTGCGGAATTGTCGCCACCTTCGACGGCAGCTGGTGGGTCCAGCGGAGTGAGGCACCGCGCGGATGTGAGCGGTATCTCGCCGTCCCTGGGGGCCTGCGATCTGCGAAATGGTCGCCACCTCGGAGGGCTGCTGGTGGGCTCGCCACTTTCGAGGGCTGCTGCTGGGTCCAGCGGAGTGAGGCACTACGCAGACCTGAGCGGTACTTCGCCGTCTTTGGGGGGCCATGTCATGTTGTTGCTGCCCCGCCGACGTTTCAGGCTCCTTGCCCACCGTCTACCTTGCGTCTTCCTTAGTGACTCAGGGGTTCAGTTTCCCTGTGGCCCCTTTGGTTTCCTGTTCGGCCGCTCCCGCCGGGGAGGGGGGTCTGAGAGGAGAGAGGAGGGTGGGAAGTGGGGTCTGATGAGGAGGGCTGCGGGGGCCTCCTGAGGTGCCAGGTAGTGGATTTGTACACGGGGGAGGGCTCCCTGGGGTCCCAGTCGCATTTCGAGTGGCCCGCCCGCGCGTCGGCCACCCAATCGCGCGGGCGGGTCGCCCGTGGTCCTGCGATTCCAGGTCCCGCGACTCCAGGGCCAATAAAGCATTGGCCATATATTCCAGAGCCGAAGACTGCGCGGCTTGGCCCTAGCATCTCGAGTCCAGGACTCCTGAGCTCGAGATTCCAGGGTCGAGGGCTCCTGTGCTTGGTGCGCCAGGGCCCAGGTCCCCAGTGGCAGGGTCCGCGCAGCGGCGCCGCGCCCACTTCGACGCACCCCTCGCACGTTTCGTAGCCCCATCGGGAGCCCAGCCGAGGGCCCCAACGGCAGGGTCCGTATGTCGGCGCCGCGCCCATTTCGGCACAACCCTCGCCTCATCTCATCTCATCCTTGTCTCTCTTCTACCGTCCTGTACGTCCGTATGGGGTCAGCTATGGGATACCACGGAGCGTCTACGACGTTATCAGTAGGGGGTCTGCTCATACCCTCACAAGCTTAACTGCACAGGTCGTGAACCAGCGCTGGGGCACAGAGATAGCAACTCAATCCCCATCGCCCCTGCTTTCCCCGACCTGGTGCTCCTCCACTCTTCTCTTCCTCCTCCCTTGGCACTGTTACATCATACTTTTTGCTGTTCCCCAGCGCTAGACGCGGGGAAGACCAGCGGCACGGCGTCTGCCGTGTCGTGGGTGGTTGACGCAGACTTGTTCTCGGCCGCGGTCGCGAACCGAGCGCTGGGGCACCGCAGACTTGTTCTCGGCTCGCGGCACGCGAGCCTTGCCCTCGCTCGCTCCGGTCGCCCGCCCCCCGCCCGCCGCGGGGCGGCGAGGTCTGGGACCTGCGGCGCCCCATCCTGCACGACAAGCCCGTGAAGACGCTGGTGACAGGAGGCCCTGCGCGGGCCGCAGGGGCTGGGAGGGTGGAGGAGGAGGATCCAGGAGGGGGGAGGGGGAGGCCTTGAGATCTGGGCGCTGCAAACTTCCCACACCAGGAGTGAACAGATCACACCGTCCGAGATTTGAACTCGAAGGTCCTGCAGGGCGAACGGTACGTGTTGTCGGATGGGTTCCCCGTTCATGCGGGAGCCTTCCTCGGGGTCAATCGCAGGACTATTTCACGAGAGGAGAGACAAGGATTAGTTCACGCCAAAGAGCGACTAATTCACAACAAGGGCGGCGAGTGTCGGAGGCGGGCGGGACAGCGTTCGCCTCCCACAGTCGCGTTCGCCTTCGCCTCCCAGTTTCGTGCTCGACTTCGCCTCCCATTGTCGCCTCAGCGAAAGCGGGAGGCGACCGCAACACTGGAGGCGAGCGAAAGCGGGGTGCGAGCGAAAGCGGGGTGCGAGCGAAAGCGGGGTGCGAGCGAAAGCGGGCGGCGAGCGAAAGCGAGAGGCGAGCGAAAGCGGGAAGCAAAGGGAAACAGGGAAACGAGCGGAAGCGGGAGGCGAGCGAGAGCGGGAGGTGAGCGACAGTTGACGGCGAGCGAGAGCGAGATGCGAGTGAACGTGGGAGGCAAGCGAAAGCGGGCGGCGAGCGAAAATTGGAAGTGAGCGACAGCGGGAGGCGAGCGAGAGCGGGAGGCGAGCGAACGCGGGAGTCGAGCGAGAGCGGGAGGCTAGCGAGAGCGGGAGGCGAGCGAAAGCGGAAGGCAAGCGAGAGCGGGCGTCGAGCGAAAGCGGGAGGAGAGCGAGAGCGGGCGGTGAGCAAAAGCGGGAGGTGTGCGAAAGCGGGCGGTGAGCGAAAGTGGGAGGTGTGAGAAAGCGGGAGGTGAGAGCGAAAACGGGAGGCGAGAATAAGCGGGAGGCGAGCGAAAGCAGGAGGCGAGCCAAAGCGAGAGCGCACGCTCCCGCTTCCGCGTTGTGGTTGTCGTTCTTCGTCCCTCGTTTTGTCGTCGGGTCCCACTGTCATGAGAAGGGTGTGCCCGTTTACCTGCACTCATGCGTATAGCGCAGCCTCAGATCAAGAGTCGCGGGCCAGCTTCCTATGAGTACGGGGGTATGTCATCCATCCATTCTTCAGACGGGTCCTGAGATGCGGGCGTTGCAATCTTAGAAAGGGAACGTGACTATGGAACCAAGGGGAACCCGAGGAACCTGGGCAAGGCCGGCCGTCAAAATCAGTAGGGAAACAAACCCAAGGAACCCGAGGAATCCCGGCAAAGCGGGCCAGCGCAGAATTTGTTGGACCCGTTTGGATTGGAGGATTTGTCAGATTTGCGGGATCTTTGGGGCTTTTGTGACCCGTGGGACATGTGGGGCCTGTGGGATTTGTGGGGCCTGTGGGGCCTGTGGGGCATGTGGGACCTGCGGGACGTGTGTGACCTCTTGGACCTGCGGGACCCGTGCGACCCGTGGGACTTGTAGGATTTGTGGGACTCGTGAGACCTTTGGGACCTGTGGGACCTGTGCCGCCTGTACGACCTGCGGGGCCTGTGGGGGACCTGTGGGGCCCAGGGCACCTGTGGGGCCTGTGGGGCCTTTCAGGCCTATGTGGGAACGGTGCGGCCTGTGCGGCGCGGGAGGTGTGGGGTCCGTGCAGATAAGGGACTTGCGGGACCTGTAGGTCCTGTGGGGCCTGTGAGACCTGTGACTCATGTCGAACCTGTGAGACCTGCGGGACCTGTGAGACCACTGGGACATGTAGGACATGTTGGATATATGGCACTTGTGGGATCTGTGATCTGTGGCATGTGAGAACTGTGGAACTTTGCTGCCTGTGGGACCTACAGGACCTGCGAGACGTGTGAGCACTTGTGGGAATTCTGTGGCCTGTGGGACCAGTGAGATCTGCGACACCTGCTGGACCTGTGGAACTTGTGGGACCTGCCAGACCTATGGTACCTTTGGGATCTGTGGTACCTGTGGTACGTGCCTGTGGTACATTTTGGGACTTGTGGAACATGGAAGGGCATTTGCGGCGGACCTGTGGGACTTGTGGGATGTGCGGCACCTGTTTGGCCTTTAGAGCATCTGGGACATGCGGGACCTGCGGGACCTGTGGAGTCCGTGCAACACGTGGGACCTGTGAGACCTCTCGGGCACCTGTGGGAATCGTGTGACATGTGGGACCTGTGGGACATATGGAACCTGTTGGACCTGCAGGGCCTGTACGACCTGCGGGACCGTGGCCGTTGGGACCAAAAATGTAGCCGACATTGGGGCGGGAACACGATTCCTCTGTCAGGCAATCTGAGGCGAAGCGGCTGCCGGACCGGGTGGTCTCGGGCTCCCCGCCCCCCCCCGTTGTAGCCCGGCATTGGGGCGAGAACACGATTTCTGGGTGAATTTTAAAGATCTCTCATGGGGAGTTGTTTGTGGTCCTCTTTTCACCACCAGTAGAGCCCACCAGCGAAACGCTGGTAGGGAATGTGGCAAGCATTGAGGCGAGAGCACGATTCCTGAACACATTGCGAAGAAGTCTCCGGCGAAGCGGCTGTCGGACCAGGCGCTCTCGGGCTCCCCGTTGCATGTGTGGTAGCCGGCATTTGGGGCGATAGCACGACTCTTGAATACACTGTGAGGAAGTCTCAGGCGATACAGCTGCCAGACAGGGTGGTTTCAGTCTCCCCGTCCCCCTTGTGGGACTCTTCTGCCAACTAGCGAAATGTTAACAGGGAAAGATGCAGCCAGGACAGAGGTGAGAGGACGGCCATGTGCACCGTAGTGAAGTTTGCACCAATGGATCGTGACTGTCCAGACCAACAAAAAGGAACAGGCCTTGATGCGAGAGCACGATTCCCGAATGATTGGTGATGGAGTATCAGGCGAAACCGTTGGGCCGGATTGTAACCCAAGCAGTGCTTTTCCAAGGAATTGGTCCTGAAATTTGGTCTGGCGGCTATGTACTTGCCGTCGCCGCCCCGTCGCCGCCTCGTCGCCGCCCGTCGTCTGGGCCTGAAGCTTGGTCTGGGCCTGGTCGTCTGGGCGCAGGCCACAGCAGCGGTCGACTCCAGCTGCAAGGCCTTGGCGCTCGTGGAGGACCCCCCCGCGGAGCTCGCCTTCCTCTGTATCTCGGCTAACGTGTGTCGGATTGTCCACTTGCTGCGAGCGGCTGGACCAGAGGTGCCGCATGCCAGCTTGGTCGCCTTCGACGCGCAGCAAACCCGAGCGCTGGGTGGCGTCTGTGGTGGGCCCCTGCCGCCCGAGGCGGTGGATCGGGCTACCTGCGCGGCCGCGGACGGGAGGCGCGGCCTCCGCCAGGCCGTCGACTTACGATTGGCGGAAGAGGTTCTGGACGCTATGCCGGAGCCGTGGCGCGGGGCGTTGCTGGCGCACTGGGACTCCACCTCGGCGGACGCGTTGGCAGCATGGCGGGCGGAGCTCCCGGCCTCGACGGCAGAGGTCGCCGCCCAGCACCTCCAGGCTGGAGCGACGGTAGCGCTAACGCGGGCAGCGCAACTTGCGGGGCGGGTGCCGCTGCCTCCCCTTTCGGGGCCCCTGCTGCCGACTGGCGCCGATGCGCTCCTCTTGCCGCCCAGGGCTGACGATTCCGAGCGCCCTGGGGCCACGCCGGGTCTCCAGGCGCGCTTGGCTGACCTCGTGGCCCGCCGCCGTCTCGAGGCTGTGGAGGACGCGCGCTGCTGCGGCGGCGCGGCGTATCTGGCTTGGAGTTCCTCCGCGACCTCCGGGCCCCAGTCTACGTGACCCCTGGTGCGTGTTCCCGGCGCGGCGCGGAGCGGGGCGTCGACCCGGCGCGTGCCGCGTGTTGTACACCCAGGGAGTCCACGCGCGGGCACAGTAGACTGCGGGGCGAACTCCTGGCGCTGGCCTCCCTGTCCGACAGGGCCGTTCGGGCGGGGGCGCCAGGCCTCATCGAGGCCGCGCCGTTTTTCCGCCTAGCCGACGTGCTCACCACGACGCCTTTGGCCAGTTGACGGCGCTGGATGTGGGCATCGTGGCGCCGCACCCGGCCGGGGTTGGCGAGGATGCCGCCGCCGCCTACGTGGTCAGCAAGGTCGGCAAGTACGCGCCGCACCTGCCGGCGCTGGCTGTCGACGGGATCGCCTACAGGACGTTCGTCTGGACAGCGCGGGGCCGCCCGCGCGAGGATGCGTCGGCCGCGATCGCGTTCACGGCGGCCGCAGCAGGGAGGCGCCTTGGCGCGCCCTCGCACGCGCTCGCCGCGCGGGCCCGCTCCGCCATCGGCGCCGCGATGTGGCACCGAACAGCGCGCATGGTCGGCTCATGTGTCCCGCGGCTTGCCCGAAGGGATGTCGGTGCCCTCCTGCCAGGTGCTCGGGCCAGCGGTGCCGGCGACGCCGACGACGCCGCCTCCGACGTCGATCCGCCCGTGGACCCTTCGCCGGCGGCGCGGTCCGACTCCTGCTCGTCCACGTCCTCGCCTTCCTCCTCGTGCCCGGCGTCGCCCGCCTGCCCTGCCCGCCTGTCCCCCGCTCTTGACTTAACCGTTCGGGGGGACACGGTGGAGCCGGCAGGAGGCGAGGCGCTGGCGGGAGCTCTGGCCTGCGCGACGGACCAGGAGGGCGCTGGCGGACCCGCGGGGCAGGCAGGCCTGGTCGGCGCGCCGGGCCTCGGCGACACTGGAGGCGCTTTGGCGCGGGTTGCTGGCGCAGCGGGCTGTGGCGACGCCGCAGGAACTGGCGGCGGCCTGGCGAGCAGAGGCGCCCGCGGCCCAGCCTGGTTTGCCGGCCTCCGGCTGGCTTGCGGGCGAGGCCCCCCAGCGTAGCTCATGCGCCGTGAAAGCCGAGGGGTGGGAACAAAAAAAAACAGCCCAGCGGTTATGTACTCGCGGTCGCCGCCTCGTCGCCGCCCGTCGTGTAGGGTTTGTTTCAACTTGCAGTCCGATCGGTTGCAATCCAACCGGTTGCAACTAGAGATGATATATTCTTTTCTATAGGAAGGGAATCGACTCCCCCCCCGGGATTATCCGCCCCCTTCTTCGTATTGTAGTTTACACATGATCCTGCCCCTTCGTCCATCCTAAATCTGAGTGCGTATCGTCCAAACCGAGCCAGCGTTGCACCCCTGCCATCTTTTGCAACAGCTGATATGCGCGCGCACGTTTATCAATTACGCTACCGAGGAACCCCACATACTTATGTAATGGCTGGAGTGGTGATAACTGAAGTGAAGCATGAGAGAATGATGTTCGCGGCCGCTGCCCCGCCGATGCCGTTGGTGACGCCAGTCAAAAGGAGAGGAGGGAGGAGAGTGGAGAGGAGAAGCGCCGCGCCCGCCACACTTTGCGAGTCCGAATCGGATAGCGACTGCACCCCCAAGGCCCCCCTTGTGGCGTCGAGGAGGCGCAGCGCTTGCCACGCCAGCGCACCCCGTGTGGCGTCGAGGAAGTGTCACGCCTGCCGCGCGCTGCGGGCCCGAAGCGGATAGGGACCGAACCCCCAGCGCACTCCTTCCGGCGTCGAGAAACTGCCGTGCCTACCACGTTTTGCGAGGCCGGGGCGGATAGCGCACCCCCAGCGTACCTCCTTTGTGGCGTCGAGGAAGTGCCACGCCTGCCACGTATTGCGAGCCCGAGACGGATATCGACCGCACCCCTAGCGCACCCCCTGTGGCATCGAAAATGTCACGCCCGCCACGCGTTGCGAGCCCGAAACGGATATCGACCGCACCCCCAGCGCACCCCCTGTGGCGTCCAGAAAGTGCCACGCCTGCTAGGCTTCGCGGCAGGGAGACCACCCCCTGCGCACCCCCGATAGGGTGTCCAGAAAGTGCCCCGCCTGCTAGGCTTTGCGACAGTGTCGTGGATAACGGCCGCGCTGAAAGACCACCCCCTGCGTACCCCCTATGGTGTCCAGAACGTGCCACGCCTGCTAGGCTTTGCGGCAGTGTCGTGGATAGCAGCCGCGCTGAGAGACCACCCCGTGCGCACCCCCTTATGGTGTCCAAAAAGTGCAGCGCCTGCTATGCTTTGCGACAGTGTCGTGGATAGCGGCCGCGCTGGAGCGTCGATTGGCGCCTGCGACCTCCTCTCAGCAAGGACATCACAGCTAGGCCACCAGATGTTGTAAAGCAACGCAGAGCTTAGAGCGAGCGTAGCACCGAAGTGGCCCGATAGCTCGATCGATCGATCCTCCTCCTCCTACCCCTCCCTTCCACCTCAGCCTCCTCCAGACCCTCCTCCCCCAGCCCTTACAACCAGGGGTGTCAGACCGACGCCGACTATGCTGGCTTCCGGCTCGAGCGCCAGAGGCTAACATTCTCAAGCATAGTTGAATGTCCAATGGTGTTCGTTATTTGTTGTGCAGGTTTTCCCAGGCGTGGTGTTGTCAGCACTTCTCATGGCGCGCTCGATTTGTTGACGCAGTGCGACGTGTTCTCGAGAGCTCTGTTACTGCGCTTACGCATGTTCACAAAGCCCCAAGCACCTCGGTACAGTCATATATCCCTTTGCCGTTTTGTGGATTGATTGGTCGTTGCTATCTTCTTCGCGCGTGAGTCCTATGCTCACCAGGCCAGAACGTGATGTGCACGTTCTCCCCAGACGACAAGGCCTACCCGTCTAGTCGCGCTCCCCTCTTGCAGCTCGTCACTGTGTTCGGGCTCCACCGACGCCTGGGTGCGTCTTCTGCTGCAGGAGATGGGTGAGAGGGGCGAGTGCGTGTCGGGACAACGTCGCCCATCCCTGGCTGTATTCGTCCTCGTGGGTCCTCTTGGGGCCCCTTGGAGATTCCTCGTGGCCATGACTGGGTCCACCTCGAAGAACTGTAATCAGGATGGACCGGTTTGAGTGGACCCTGCGATAGGGAGGGAGGTGGGAGCGAGGGGATACCCATGATTCTACGTTTTTCCCCCAGGCCCCTGTGCCCCTCCTCCACGCACCACTGCTCTCAGCCCCGCGCGTCAGAGGAAGGTGGAGGTCCGACCTTCATAGATAGGTTCCCCCTCACACCAGCTGATTTCGGACGCGCCCGAAAGGGCGCAAAAGAAAAACTCGCTTCGCGGTCCGTGCACGGCAGCTGCGTGTCGTGTCGATGCGGCGGCGACCCCAGCCTGGGGAACGCCGCCAATGGCCCGCCCGCCACTTCTGGGCGGCAACCTGTGGGGCCTGCCCAGGGTGGGGGCCCAGGCGTCGTGGAGGGGGCGCGAGGGTGGGCGCTAGGTCTGGCAGGCGGCCTGGGACGAGGATCAGCCAGAGCGTCCCAGAGCGCTCTCAGAGCGTGCCAGGGCGCTCTGGAATCGACCGCGGCGCCCGATACATGCCCAAGACCTGCTGGCTCCCAGAGATTCCCACATATTTCCGGTCTATCCTCGTCGGAGTTTGCCTCCGTTTTGCCTTCGTGTTATCCTAGGGTCCGCAGAGATCTAGGGCAGCGAACTTTGCTGGTAGGATTCTGGTCTGAGCGGAACTCCTCTCTTCTTCCATGCGCGGCGGTTTCTCTTCCTTTTCCTTGCGTGCGGGCGCATTTCGATACGGCGCAGCCTGGTGTAGCTTCGACCTCTGCGAGCCTCCTTGTCGTCTCGATTATGAGCCTGTGTCGGGGGTCCCGCGCGTGATTCACAATCTCCGTCCATTTCCATGCTCAATGCACAAAGAAACCCGATGGATGTCCTAGAGCATTTCCTAATGTGTGTTCCTATGGAGATCCTACAGAAGGAATCCTATGGAGTTCTTTAGGATTCCGATGGATTTCCGGAGGAATCCCAAATAATCCCATCGGAACACAACATATTGCTTTAGGATTCTTATGGGTACCCTCAGGAATACCATGGATGTCCGTAGGATTCCTATATAGTGCCCGCGGAACCCAATTGATTTCCCAAGAGGTCCCATCGAATTTCGCAGGAACCTATGGATGCCCTAAGGAATCCTACGGCTTTGCATAGGATTCCTATGTATGTCCTATGGAATAGCATGCATGTCCTAAGGAACATTTCGGATGTCCTGAGGAACCCTGTAAAGTTCCATGTTAATCCAATTGATTTCCTAAGGAATCGAATGGCTGTCCTAAGGCATCATCGAAGGAAACCATCGATTTCCTTGGGCTTCCTATGGGTATCGTAAGGAATCCTCAGGGTGTCCACTGGATTCTTATGGATTTCTCCAGGAAGCCTATGGATGTCCTAAGGAACCCCATGGCTTCCTAAGGAATCGTATGGATATCCTAGGGTCCTAGGGCATCCTGTGGATTTCCATGGGAGTCCTATGGATTTCCTGGGGTAACCAATGGAATTCTTAAGGAATCCAATGCATGTCCTTAGGATTCCTATCGATATCCTGAGGAGTCAGTTGGGTTTCCATTGGATTCTATGGAAGTCTTGAAGATCCCAATCGGTTTCCTTAGGATTCCCATTGGTATCTTCAGACATCCGATGGAGTTCCAATGAATTTCGTGAATGTCCTTCGGAATCCTATGGAATTCTCAAGGAATCCGATGGCTATCCTACGGCGTCCTATGGATTCCCATAGGATTCTTATTGCTTTCCGAAGGACTCCTATGGATTTCTTTATTATTCTCATGGACGTTTAGGATCACCTTGATCATCATCATCGTCATCCTCCTCATCATTATGATGAGATCTTCGGGAAAACGTTTATGAACCCGCCTGGACCAAGGATTCTATGGTTCCCAGTTCCCAAGGGGTTATTATCTGGAGCGTAGGGTTACTCGTCGACTGTACCGAGCATTCGACAAAAGTGGTCTTGCACGGCCCACGCCGCAGGCGGGAGCGGTCGGATCTGAATCGCTGCGCCTTCTGCCGCCAGTTCCCTGCGCGGAGCCAGGTGGCGGCAAAATTTGGACAGGCGTGGGGCCTTTGGGGGCCATCTCTGGGCCTCGTGGAGGCATCCTGGGGTATCTCGGGTCACCTCTGGCATCTTGCCAAGTATGTGGGCCATCTTGGGGCCTGGGGCCCATCTCGGGGGCCTCTTGGGGGACACCTTGGGGCCTTGAGCGTTGGGAGGTCATCCAGATCTGGTCCGCATCGTGGGGTCCTTTGCGACCATCCTGGTCAATGCCAGGGGTATGGGGCGATCTTGGGCCATCGTGGGCGCAGCACATGGCGAAGCACATGACATGCACATCTGTTATCTAATGGCGCTTGCCCTCTCGGAAGCGTCTTCGGACCCTCTTGGGCCCTTCTTGGAGGCATCGTGGAGCATTCTTTGGCCTTCGTGGGATCCTGAGGCCCTCTTCCGCTTGTGGGGCCGTCATAGGGGCCTCTTCGACTCTCTTGGATATGCGGTGGCTTCCGCATGGGAATTCTGGGGCAATCTAGAGCGGCCAAGAGGCAGAAGGACTCCCTCCTCCCAGGTTGGTCTTCGGGAACTGACCGCACCCCCCCAACAGGCCTGGAGACGCAAGAGGCAAGAAACATGATAGGGCGCAGACGACAGACCCCGCAGCCCCGCGCCTCCCAAGGGGACCGGCGAACTTCTCCTGCCTTCCTGCCTCGTGCCCCTGCCCGCTCTCGTGTCTCTTCCTGCCTTGTGGCCCCTGTACGGCGCAGCGCGGCAACCTGTTCATCTCGAGGCCCATCGCAGCAGAGGGACGACACCCGCTCCGGTATCCACCTGGGCTCGAGCGTCCATCTGGCGGACCCGCGCGAGCGTGACGGTCCAACGGGACCTCGCCTCGGGTTGATTTTGAGAACGCCGTGCGTGCGCTTCTGCGTCGGGGAGTGCGTGCGCCGAGGCATGCGGTCGAGTCGAGCAAGGCTGGACGTCTGGGAGAGGCAGGAGGCGAATGAGCGTCTCTGCGGATCCCTGTCCCCAAGCCTTCGAGATCCGAAAGAGCCCAACCAATTCGACCTGACTTGTGCCCTCGTCTTGCAGGTCCTGAGCACCGAGAAGAAAGGAAAAGGCGGGGAGGAAGAAGAAGAAGAAGAAGAAGCAAAAGAGAAAGTAGAGTCGTGTGAGTGGAACGGCCGTATCCATATGAGCAGAGACGAGAAGAGAGACCTGCTGTCAGTTATTGAAGCAAGCGCTGGCAGCGCAATGCATCGTGACAACCGGCTCACCTTGGACGAGATCAAGGCTTGCATCGAGAGAAAGCAGAACCGAGCGTTTATTCTGCAGGATTTGCCTGAGAGTATTGCAGCCCTCGCAAATGTGAAATACGTGGAAGCTTGCTTCAAGCACAGAGACCAGGACGGCTCTGGCAAGCTCGATGAGTCAGAGTGGATCGATTTCTTGGAGGACTTAGAGTACCTACACCATGCTTACCTCCTGAACAATGCCTTTCAACAGTGTAGAGCCTTTTTCGGCCTGGGTCGAAACTATTTCCATGATACGGAAGGAACATCCTCAACCTCAAGTCAATTGGACCACCTGACCTTGTTGAACATCACCCGTGGGGCTTTTGGCAGCGAGGATTTGTTGCCTCTATCGCCTCAAGATGTGTCTGGTGGCGCAGGTGCCGAGGCCGAGTTGCCAAAGAAGAGCCGTTTACAGTTTGGATTGGATCCTGAGTGGAGGAGTTGCTGGAAAGATTTCATTTTTTATCGAAGACGCCTACAGCGAATCACCGCCGCCCCCTGCCTTTTTGGAAGCGCCTATGTGGCCGAACGTTGAGGCCAGACCTGCCAAGCTATCGGACCATGTGTTCCCCGAATCGGTTTGGAAAGCCTTCGGGGAACACGTAGGCATCTTGAAGGTTATCTTGGCCGTCTGGAGGCCATTTTGAGCTTTCAGGCCTTCTTGGAGGACGTCTGGGAGGGCTCTTGGGCCGTCTTGGAGGCCATCTTGAGCGTTTTGGAGGCCTCTTGGACCGCCTTGGGGGCCTCTTGGGGCCGTCTTGGGCGATTGGGCCGTCTCGGGCCGTCGGAAGGCAGAAAAAACGCCAGGGGCATCAATGATTTTGGCCGTTTCGGGTATTCCTGGGGGCCCTCTTGGAGGCCTCTTGGGCCGTCTTGGGCCCAAGCCGTTTGGGGGGTCCCTATGGGCTGACTCGGGGCCCTCTTGGAATGCTCCAGGGCCGTCTTGGAGGCCATCTTGGGCGTCTGAAAGGCCTCCTGGGCCGTCTTGGGGGCCTTTTGGGGCCGTCTTGGGGGCCTCTCGGGCCGTTCTGGGGCCATCTTGGAGGCCTCTTGGGCGATCTGTGGGCGATCTTTGGGGGCTCTTGGGCCGTCTTTGGAAGCATCCGGGGCCGTCTTGGGCCAGCTTCGAGCCAACCTCGGCCATTTTGGTGGGTTCCTGGCACGGCTGACGCCGTCGGGAGCCATCTTGGGGGCCTCTCTGGGCCGACTTGGGGCCCTCTTGGGGCGCTTCGGGGCCGTCTTAGAGGCCATCGTGGGCGTCTTGGAGGCCTCTTGGCCCGTCTTGGGGCCCTCTTGGGGTCGTCTTGGCCGTCTTGGAGCTCTCTTGGAGCCCTCTTGGGGCCGTCTTGGGGGCTTCTTGCGCCGTCATGGGGCCATCTTGGAGGCCTCGTGGGCGATCTTGGGGCGATCTTGGGGGCCTCTTGGGCCGTCTTGAGCCGTCGGAAAGCCGAAAAGAAGCAAATGCCAAAATATGTCAAAAGCTGCAGGACAATCAATACTTTTGGCATCTTCGG